TAGTGGCTAATTCTCTAATATGTTTTATTGAAATTAGATGCATTTCTCTCATGTGAGAAAAAATATATTCAGTGATAGTATTTACTCTTTAAAAACTTGAGCTCATCAAAACTATAAAGTCATCAAATCTAGATGGCAATCTCGATATGCATTGCAGTTATACGCATGCTCTTCATTTACAACATTTGCTCTCTGATGGTGAATTTATCTGTGCTACATGCTTTTTCTATGTGGAACTCTATGGAGTGATTTTATAAATGAACAAGTGTTCTTTCAAGTCAATCATTGTTTGAATATGACATATTAGAGAGCATAAAGTTTATGACAGGTAATTATTTGGAATGTTTGTTAAACAAAGTTCAAAGTTTAAAAATACATCTATATCCTAGAAACCTAAACAAACCTGTAACCAAGTCTATGGACCAGGGTTTCTCCATCTGGGCACTGTTGACTTTGGGGCTGGACCATTCTTTATGGTGGGGGCTGTCCTGTGCACTGTGGGGTGGTGAGCAGCATCCCTGGTCTCCACCCACTAGATGCCAGGAGTACGTCCCCCGAGGTGTGACAACCAGAAATTCTCCAGACATTGCCACCTACCCCCTGGGGGATGAAGTCACCCCCTGTTCAGAATCACTGCATCGTAGAGGGATCTTTACTGAATAGATGAGAATTTAGCCTGTATAAGGAACCAGGTCAATTACAAGAGTAAGCCCCGGGACTGAGGAATAGCTGGGAAGTTATTACATTTGACTTCAAAGCCCTAAATTCTGTCTTTTATGTCCACTGAAAAACTTGTTTAAAAGACTGAATTCTGACTTGTGTCTGTATCATGCAAGTACAGGTATTAATTTTGTCCTACATGTCAGCCAACGTCATTTGTGATAATGACATGTTTATTTAATGCCCTTAAAGGTACCACGGATTTCCTCAACTTGACTGATTCCCATAATTGCAAATATCTCTAAATCTCATTACACAAACTTTCACATTTAACCAGAACACAAAAGCTAAATATCTGTGCATGTACTTTGAAATCCATCTAAAATATAAATAAATGCATAAAGGTGGTGACTCTTAACTATGGTTTTGCATGGCCAGACTCAGTTTCTTACCTCTGTTGAGTATTTTAGCAAGTTTTACAATTTACGGAGTGATTAACAGAGGTCTCTATGTAAAGTTGTTATTTTTCCTTTACGTAATGATATTGTAGTGCGTGGATAACAGAAGCTCTACCTTCTCATCCAGATGGTCTCTAGAAATCATGTCCCTTATAGTGGTCACTTAAAGTCAATATTTATTTATGTATGTAATAAAAAAATGATTTTTGTGTGTGTGTGTCATGTTATTTAGAGAAAAATAATCTTGTAAAAAAAAGCATTTTGTAAAAAACAAAAAAGTATTGTAAATAGTCTGATATCCTGTGACTCGTTATTTTCATGTTAGAGTTTGTACATAGTGATTCAGTAATAAAGTATCCTTAAACCTGCCTAATGGACTAGGCTCATTTATTTCCTTAAAAAAAAAAAAAAAGGTTTTTTTTCATTAAGAAGAAAAATTTGCAGTTTCCTATGCTGCCACAGAGATTCAAAACCCTAACTTTGTGTCAGTATGAATGGAATTCAAGGTCTGGTAAATGTAAGAAGAGCACTTCACCCTAATGAAAGTATTCGAGTTTGACAATCAACACTTCAGAGTTCTGTCATCGTATTTACAACTGTTGTTCCTGATGGTTTGGGCAGCATTTTTTTTTGATGAGGAAGATTTTCCCTGAGCTAACATCTGTTGCAAATCTTCCTCTTTTTGCTTGAGGAAGATTGGCCCTAAGCTAATATCTGTGCCCATCTTTCTCTGTTTTGTCTGTGGGATGCTGCCACAGCATGGCTTGATGAGTGGTGTGTAGGTCTGCGCCTGGGATCTGAACCTGCAAACCCTGGGCCACCGAAGTGGAGCATGTGAACTTAACCACTACACCACCAGGCTGGCCCCTTGGGTGGCCTTTTTGATCAATAGTCTATAATTTTAAATTGCCCCCTCCAGGATGTATCCATAAAATGCTAGGTATATGTAGTGCTAATAAACATTCATTCGTATCTCTGTTTTTCAACAGCGCACACTGTGTTGAAGGCTTCAAGTCTCCAATATCCGAGAAGAGTTTTGAGAAGTTAGTACATTTCCCGCTTAGACATGCAGTGGACCCGTAGCATGTCTACTGACGCATGAGAAGAATGCTGTTCCATAAAGCATGGAAATCAGGTGGTGTTATCCAGGAGAACCTGGGTCATCTTCTTCTCCATAAAACCACCTATTATTTATTTATACATTTAGTCAACAAACATTTCCATAGTTTCATATGTGCCTGGTCCCGTTCTAGAGGTCGATATTGACTAAGAAAGACAAGCTCCCTGTTTTCATAAGTTCTTCATTCTAGTGGGAAGAGATGGATGATAAATAAGAAATAATAATAACTGTGAGAAACCAGGTGGTGCTAAGTGCTGTGCTGAAGAGTAAACAGCATTGCATTAGGG